GACCTGTATCGAATTGCCTTTATCTTTAGCTGAAGTGATATTGTAGTTGGGTTATTACCCTTTCCTTTTTATACATCGCCTAAACATCTTTGATGTATGTTAATTCCGTGAGTAGGTGGTGGAAAATATCTTGATTGACAGTATAGTAGAAATCTTATAATGTATGGAAATTTGTGTGAATGACATGCTTTTTTACGCTAAAAATCATTTCAGAAAACGTGTATATCGGTTTCGATATTCAATACCTGGCGAGCTATATAGCTACCGAACGTTGCGAACCATGTATTATTCCTGCAGCTGCTTATACCGATTTGTCTTGACTTCATGCCGACATTAAATAGAACAATATGTGTTGGTTGATTATTCGTTTGTTGGCAATTTTGTCAGGTTTCGGAGCGCCAGTGAGAGACAGCCAAAGTCATGTTTTTAGGCAAATATTGTTTAAGATTGGTTACGTATATTGCTTAAAATCCCCTATGTTTATATTTTTTCGAAGACTAGAAATATAACTAAAAATTTTAGGATTTTTGTTTTAATTTCTGGTTTAAGGTATATTTTTTCTTGACATACTGTTGAAATTATAATCAAAAACTGACGCAATTTAAAAAAAAATATCCCTAAAACACGATTCTCGGGACAACCTTAACAGTCATTTATAGCCGTGAATGAGGTTGTACAAATTACCCAGATCGAACACGAGCCAACACAGTTCGGGTTGTCTAAAATGTGGGAACTTTGCAGCCCAGATTTGACCACAGTGACCCGAAGGGCGTCGGATCGCCCGAAGGCCGGAGGGAGATCTAATACATGGGAGGTTTGTGCACGTGTTAAATCAAAGCATGCACCTTGCACAATAGGAGAGGGCAGACAAGGTCGTGTGAACGATGGAAAAGTATCATACAATAGAGGAAACAAGTATCAATATGAAACCTGTCAAAATTAGATTATGGACAATTGGCAGGCATAATTATAGCCACCAACATCGCGTCGCGCTTGTGACCGTGGGAAACATTCAACTAACTTTAGCCACCAGCCTTGTGGCGTAACAGGGTATTAGAGCCTATAATTTCATGAAAAGGTCTAACAAAAAGCCACCAAGGTTTCCACATAAATATAATGTACGAAGTCTCATCATTACGTTTGTTTCAAATCTCAGGCTTTCCCTTTGAATTTAATTAAAGTCTGAAGCGTGGCCTTGTAATCCCAAGCAGGGCACTCAGAGAAGGCAAAAATGTCACAATTTTTAGCACAAATGTGACAAATCTCTACAATTTGACTCAGGCTTTACAATGTTCAGAAAAAGTATAAGGGTCACTTTGACTGAACTTTTCAGCAAGAGGACACAACATGCTACCGAGTTAAGTATGCATGGCGATGTAGCCTGTCGGGCTATAGCAAAGCAGAACAAGCAATGAATAACGGTTACAATACTTTATATTTTCTCTATCCTTTTACTTTTAGACTTTTCAAACATTGTAAAGTTACGATATGGTATAGACCAAAACCTTAGTCTAAAATGTGTTGTATTAACTTGCACCTTTCTTGGGTGCTGACTACGTCGGAGTTGTAACCGTGCTTTCAAAACCACCCTTGTTCAAAACCTGACAAATATGATTTCATAGTACTCCTGTGAGTATCAAGTCTCAATCTCAGACAAAAAGGTTTCGAACGTGACAAGATGCATCGACGTCTCAAACGGGAGCGGGGGAAGATATGACAAGCTTTGCGGTGGGGCACCGTGGGTGGGACGGGGAAAATGCAATCAGGTGCGGTGCGGCACTCACACTCAGCTGAGGTTTTTGCAATAGAGTTTTAAAAAGGCTAGGCGGCATAAGTTGCAGTAAAAATTCATGAAAACTGACTGGTCAAAGAAGTTTGAGCCCCTCATTTAGCAAATACATCAAGAATTCCTAATCAGTCACCCCAAAAAGTTTTCAAATCTATGACTTAGTTATCGTTGGAATTTTTAGCAATAGAAAACATTAACGGGTTTCTTGTATTAGTATCGTGTTTATATACTTACATGTACTTATGTATTACGTATTACGGGGTTAGCAAAGATCAGCTTTCTGAACCTGTAAAATGACACTTATATAGTATTATAAAATACAAGTTCCTGACAATGTCCGCAGACCTGTATCTAATTGACTTTATTTTGAACATGAAGTGATACTGTATTTGAGGTATGACTTTTTCATACATCGCCTAAACATCTCTGGGGTATGTTATTCCCTTAGTAAGTGGTGGGAAATATCTTGGTTGATAGTATAGTAGAAATCCTATATTGTATGGAAATTTGTATGATCTGAATGGCAGTTTTGTCAACGCTAAAATCATTTTATAAAACATGTATATCGATTCTCATGGTAAGTACCAGGCGCGATACCGAACAAGGCGAACCATATATTATTCCTACAGGTGCTTATACCCATTTCCTTGACTTCATGCCGACATTAAATATCTTTATTTCCACCAAAAAACAATATGTGTCGGTTGATTTTTTTTTTTTTGTTGGCAATTTTGTCAGGTTTCGGAGCACCAGTGAGACTCAGCCAGTGTCATGTTTTGTAGGCAAACATTATTAAGGATTGGTAACGTATATTGCTCAAAATCTGCATTTTTTTCTAAGACTAGAAAAATAACAAAAAAAAAATTAGGATTTTTGTTTTAATTTCTGGTTTAAGGTATATTTTTTTCTTGACATACTGTTAAAATTAGCATTTTTTTACATCTTTTAAACTAAATTACCCATAATTAAAATCTTAGACTATTTTCGAAAAAAATCCCTAAAACACGATTCTCGGGACAACCTTAACGATTTTTAGCCGTGAATGAGGTTGTACATATTACCCAGATTAAACACGATCGAACACAGTTCGGGTTGTCTAAAATGTGGGAACTTGCAGCCCAGCTTTGACCACAGTGACCCGATGGGGGTCGGATCGCCCGAAGGCCGAAAGGAGATCTAACACATGGGAGGTTTGTGCACGTGTGAAATCAAAGCATGCACCTTGCACAATGGGAGAGGCCAGACAAGGTCGTGTGAACGATGGAAAAGTATCCCACCCAACAATAGAGGAAACAAGTATCAATATGAAACCCGTCAAAATTAGATCATGGACAATGAGCGGGTATAATTACAGCTACCAACATCGCGTCGCGTTTGTGACCGTGGGAAACATTAAAAAAACTTTAGCCACCAGCCTTGTGGCGTAACAGGGTATTAGAGCCTATAAGTTCATGAAAAGGTCTAACAAAAAGCCACCAAGGTTTTCACATAAATATAATGTACGAAGTCTCATCATTACGTTTGTTTCAAATCTCAGGCTTTCCCTTTGAATTTAATTAAAGTCTGAAGCGTGGCCTTGTAATCCCAAGCAGGGCACTCAGAGAAGGCAAAAATGTCACAATTTTTAGCACAAATGTGACAAATCTCTACAATTTGACTCAGGCTTTACAATGTTCAGAAAAAGTATAAGGGTGACTTTGACTGAACTTTTCAGCAAGGGGACACAACATGCTACCGAGTTAAGTATGCATGGCGATGTAGCCTGTCGGGCTATAGCAAAGCAGAACAAGCAATGAATAACGGTTACAATACTTTATATTTTCTCTATCCTTTTACTTTTAGACTTGTCAAACATTGTAAAGTTACGATATGGTATAGACCAAAAACTTAAATATGTTGTATTAACTTGCACCTTTCTTGGGTGCTGACTACCTCGGAGTTGTAAACGTGCTTTCAAAACCACCCTTGTTCAAAACCTGTCAAACATGATACCATGGAACTCCTGAGAGTATCAAGTCTCAATCTTTGACAGGAAGGTTTTGAACGTGACAAGATGCATCGACGTCTCAAACGGGAGCGGGGAGGATATGACAAGCTTTGAGGTGGGGCACCGTGGGTGGGACGGGGAAAATGCAATCAGGTACGGTGCGGCACAATCGTTACAGTCTTTTTGAGCCGTGAATGAGATCGAACCCGATAGAACTCAGTTCGGGTTGCCTAAAATGTGGGAACTTCGCCGCCCAGATTTGACCACGGTAACCCGATGGGGGTCGGATCGCCCGAGGGTCGCTGATCCAACGCCCGGGAGGTCTGTGTTTAATCGGGGTTGACATGTATCAATTACTGTGGTTAGAACATGCGCCTTGTACAATGGGAGAGGGCAGAAAAGGTCATGTGAACGATGGAAAAATACCCTGCCCAACAATAGAGGATACAACCATTAATATGAAACCTGTCAAAATTAGATCATGGACAATGGACAGGTATAATTACAGCCACCAACATCGCGTCGCGCTTGTGACCGTGGGAAACATTCAACTATCATCAGCCACCAATCTTCAGGCTCAAAAGTGTAAAAATCTCACATATGTTAGACATCCACAGTTGGAATACATCACGTATTTTAAGCCAATAATCTATGAAAAAGTATCACAAAAAGCCATCTAGGTTTTTACAGAAATGTAATGTACGCAGATCTTTTTTAAGTTTGTTTAAAATCTCAGGCTTTCCCCGTGGAGTTACAAAAGTCTAAAGCGTGCCGTCGTAATCCATAGCAGGGCAATTATCTGCACGCTTCTCTCTGCGTAGTTTGGAATGAATCAAAATATCGGACGGGTCTGTATAAACAATATGTACGCCCTGGTGGCAGGAAAAAGGAAGTGTTCTGACCTGTGTTAGTGGTACTATTTCTAACATCGAAATGTCCTTCGGCAAGAGACTGCCCTGGTCTACTTATAGTTCGTGTAGTAGGATGTAGTTACTCTGAGGGTTTTTTGTCGTCCTTCGTCTTCTTGTCTCTGAACTTCTTGCGGTGGCAGGTCGCGTCCGGATGACGGAAACATTGTCCTGTCTTCTTTTTATTCGAACATGTAATCACCAGACGTGGTGACGGCACCCTCAAGTTTTTCAACTTATATTAATGCCGCCAACAACACAGTCCGCGAGAAACAGTAACCGCAATAATGTTCGAAATGGCACGCGGTCGACGTGCTCTCGTTCTTCTGAAAACCGCTGGCGTTGGTCGTCGACTGGAGGGAAGTCGCCACGGCGGTTGTGTTCTTTAGCTTGCTGGCATCCCCATCGATGTAGTACTCCTTTATGTCTTCCCAGTCCATATTGCACTCCGTGGGGACACGCAGGGCGCGGGTGACGGCGGCGTGGTGAAACGCCCTGACAACGGGCCAGGGATACCGGACCAGCCGGTGGCACGTGTACTGTAGCAGGGCTAAACGGCCCCTGGCCTCCCAGGCTGGCAAGGCTGGAGAGAGAAGCAGCCCTATGCAGCCGCTCAGAAACCTGTCATATTTTTGGCGTCCGCCGAGTCACAACTGAACACGAGGTGTTCCGAGGAGAGCGTGGAGGACTTCGTCTTACCTGTAGACTTGGCTGACGCCGTCTGTTTGTTGAAGTCGAGGGCTGGAAACTTTTGTTCACCTTGGCGAGAAGCCCGGCGTCCGGCCGAAGGGTGTCCATGATAACGTCTCCTGGACCCAGTTGTTACTGCTGATCCATGTTTCCCCGCGTCAGTCTTCGGCGGGACAGCCGTGCCGGGACCGGGTGGGGGAAGTGCAGCCGACGGGTGGTGGGGTGCCGTCGTCCCGGAAGCAGGCGGACCAGCTGCCGGGGGAAGCAGAGCGCCCGTACCTCCCGAGGAGGGGGGGGGGGTGGGGGTGGAGGGGCACTGCAGCTGCTGCAACTTCTTCTCGTTTGATCTCAGCCTCCTGGGTGGCTGCTTCCAGTTCTTCTTTCTTTTCTGGGGGTGCGACATAGTGAGCAGGGCAGAGTGGGAGGCCGAGGAATCTGCCCGGCCGAGGACCTTTGCAGTCTTTTCCGGCCTGACCCGCCTTGTGAGAAGACAGAGGGTCACCGCAGCCGGCACAACAGCGCATTTTTTTGGGTGTACGCGGCATGGAGAGGGGGTAGAAATGAGAAGATAGCTTGTCAATCGACTTGTGGAGGGCGAACTGATTGTGCGACTTGCCCCTGAGCGCGTGGAGATAGACTGAGGCCACGCGGTGACCGTGAGGGGACGGAGACCCTGCAGCTAATTACCGGCTGTAATCCCCAGGTGGTTCCATAGATCCACATTTAGGGAGGCAAAACTGTCTCACTTTTTTGCACAAATGTGATATATGTCTGCAATACGGCTCATGTACGTACATTGTTTAGAAAAAAAAAGTATAAGGGTGACGTTGTGTAAACTTTTCAACAAGTGGACATAACATGCTAACCAGTCAAAGATGACAATGTAGCCTACCGGGCCATAGCAAAGCAGAAAAAGCAGTTACGATATTACATATTTTTTGTATCGTCTAAACTTTCAACTTGCCAAACGTTGTAAGGTTATAATAAAGTATAGATCGAGAACTTAGTGCAAAATGTGATCTAAAGTTAGCTTGAACCTTTTTTTGACGTTATCTACGAAGCAGTTGTTACCGTGCTTTCAAAATCAAGCTTATTAAAAAAAAACTTCACGACAAAATTGTTCTCATTAAACTTCTGTGGGTACCAAGTCTTAATCTTTGACAGGGTCAAAGAGGTTTTGAACGTGCCAAGAAGCATGGCTAGAATGACAAGCTTTGCGGTGGGGCGGAGAAAATGCAATCTCTTACACAGTACGATGCGATAAAACGGCTAAAATTTCTACAACAGAGTTTTATAAAACGTGGGGCGGTCTTAGTTGCAATAAAACTTCAAGAAAACAGACTACTAAAAAACTTCGAGGTTTAAGTTAAGCGGCCACACCGTGAATTCCTGATCGAGTCACCCCAAAAAGTTTTGAATCTTACAAAAAGTTGTCGTTGGAACTTTCGACAATTATAGTAAGGTGCCAAAAGGTTTTATATTTCGTTGGCTAGAACTAGTTAGTTGTTAGTTAAAACATTGCAGATGCAATAAAATAGAAACAAAGACGGGTACTCACTGGTTCTTTGTTGTTGGCGAAGTGAAGTTGGTTTGTGTCAGCTCGCTTTACTCTCGGTTATATATACGATACTATTTTAAGCTTGGCGTAAACGTCATTCAAATCAACGATTGTGATTGGTCCAATGTCGTGGCGTGATACTGCACAAACGCCAACTTGGTTTCCTTCTTGAAAACTCCTGAGCCGTGTAAATTCCCGACAGAACGGTTATTCACCTCTGTGATAATGATAATAGGTCTATTGCAAATGACGATACAATAATAAACTCCTGTCTTGCGCAAAGTAGTTCGTTTTTATCCATTCTAGTCTTATGCAGTTAAGTTCCATTCTTTAAGCAATGCGTTATCAATTATTAGCTGAAATTTACATCCAATCCATCATCCAAATTCAACACGGGCTAATTGATCGACAAGGAAAATGTTTGCAATAACACAATTCTTGTAACATCTGATGTAGTTTATAGTAATAAAATATATCAATATAGTAAAGGGAGGTATAGTTTTACGCAGCACTGTGTGACTGTGTATGTATGATTGCGTGTGTATGTGTGTGTGTGTGTGTGTGTGTGTGTGTGTGTGTGTGTGTGTGTCTGTGTGTGTGTGCGCGCGCGCACAACTTAAGACTGCCATAATGGTACGTAATAATATTTGGGTACGTGTGTGGAAATCGGAGACCAAGGTCAAAAGTAGGCCTCCTGGTAGCTTTCCCTCCTGTTGTCTTATTACCCCAGCCTGACCTTTTTAGGCTTTTAAAGTATTTGAGCAAAATTAAGCCGTTAACAATACATGCATAAAGGAGTTTGGGGAAGCAAGCAGTTTAACTGCAATAAGCTGGCTTGCGTCTATAATACAACTAAAAATGCTGTGAAAAAGGGCAACTTCCATCAGTCATTTTAGAGATGTATTGTGGTAATGCCTGCCTACCTGCAATGCAGTACCACGAAAAAGTTGCGACCTATCCGTAGCTCCAAAGGTGTAATAAGTTTTTTTTTAAATATTTTTAAGCTCCCTTTTAAAAGTTCTCAGCCTATAGTAGTTTAAGACTAATTAAATATGCTAGTTTAACATTTCCCACGGACTCAATTTTGACAGACTTAATATTGATGGCTGTTTCCTCTATTGTTTCGCAGGATATTTTTCTCGTTCACACGACCTTTTCTGCCCTCTCCCACCGTTAAGGTGTACTGAAGGGAGAGGTGATTAAATCGAAGGTCGTCCCTCACAAGTCACTGACCTTGGAAACAATTGTATAATATTAATTCGAAATAAAATCTGCAAATTGACAATAAATCATCATATAAAGTATCAGCTATAGTTCAGCAATGTGGACACATTACAAAAGGTGTCTGTTTGTTGTCTCAGCCTGTCCTTGAAGCCTGTATATAAACACAATTAAGTCATTGACAATATAAACGATGACAGAGAAGGTATAATTGTCACTGTACTTAGTAATTTTGCATCTGAAGTACTGTAAATTTGTTGTTGTGTTAAGTAAAATACTGAAAATACAACTTCCTGTGGTCATTTTGAATAAGCAAAGACTTGCTTAGTTTACCATTACGGTGTCCTAAAGAAGACGAAAAAGTTACGACCTATCAGGGACTAATCCAAAACACTCTGTGGATGGCAGCAAAAGACTCTACATTATTACAAAATACTCATAGGATACCGTATCTATGAATCCAAAGTACCCCTTTAACGCTTCCCAGTGTATTATACGTTTAAATGCCTTGTCCCCCTACAAGATCGGTATGATTGTTGTGCTCGAGTTTCTCCCGACCATTACACAGTTCTTTTTGCCCCTTCGGAACGTGTGACGTCAAGGACTTTTGCAAAGGATGTCGGGTGTTTGCTTTATCCTGGATTTCCAGCTGCTCAAAAATAGTTTAATAAATGATGCGCGATGTTAAATTAAGATTTTAAAAACACACAACGACTTTTGGTTTTGGACTGACTGCAATTTTAATTTTGTTTATTCTGCGGCAAAAATGAGAAAGTTTTTATACTTCGCATATGTTTTTGACGATAACTAGCAATATTGTTTTGTTTGGCAACTGATTTAAACAGTCATTTTAGAGATGCATTTTGGCAATGCCTGCCTACCTGCAATGCAGTAGGACGAAGAGGGTGCGAGCTATCTGTAGCTCCAAAGGTGTAATAAGTTTCTTTTTATATTTTTTAGCGTGCCGTTCCTTTTAAAACTTCTCAGCCTATAGTAGTTTTAGATTAATTAAATATGCTAGTTGAACGTTTCCCACGGACTCAATTTTGACAGACTAAATACTGATGGCTGTTTCCTCTATTGTTTCGCAGGATATTTTTCTCGTTCACACGACCTTTTCTGCCCTCTCCCACCGTTAAGGTGCACTGAAGGGGGAGGCGATTAAATCGAAGGTCGTCCATCATGAGTCACTGACCTTGGAAACAATTGTATAATATTAATTCAAAATAAAATCTGCAAATTGACAATAAAACCCCATATAAAGCATCAGCTATAGTTGATGAGAGCATTCCTCTGTATAAAGGTCAATTCAAATACCTTATTAATCTTGTACAGGCATTGCTTTTATGAACCTAATGCGCTAAAGTATAATATCCGCGCATAACTTTTATTTCAAACAGTACCCTTTAGAATTTATTGAGGGCCATTTGTTAACTTATAATAGTGTATGTTTGTCTTCTACAGAACTACTACAGAACTATTTTTAAACTTGACAACATTATAGATTGTCTATGCATTGCTTGAAGGGAGAGGTTGTTTGGGAGGTCACCGAGTAGGGGAGGAACCAGCAAATCGCCATACGCCGAACTAGCAGTGTGTACATCGACGATATATTTTGGGACCTATTTATAGATAATGTTTCCTGGGCAAATTTTGCTCAGAAAGGCCCAGTTTTCTTGTACGAAGAACAGAAGAATATATGTTTTTAAAATATGGCCCAAAAGTGTGACCTTTTCCATGGTTCGACCTGTCATTGACCTCTAAATACTTGTTCTGTGTGGACTGTCCCACTTTGCCAGGGGGGTTAAATCCTGGTATCATTTCAATATTTTAGCTGTAGCTAATTAAAACCCCGGAGTCGAACTTTCACTATTTGTACCAAAAGACACCTGACAAATCCAGCTTTGCAGTGGGGGTAAAGACTTAAGGTGAGATGTGTTTTACAGTTGTTTCTAGTAGTTTTAGCATAGATTTACAATGGGATGTCCTTATGGTGGTCCCTGCCCAAAAGGAGCACCTGCAGGCTATGTATCCATCGGTGCACTGTAAAATATCAGGGACAGTTCACAAACGCGGTGACTTCGGTGGTAACAAAAGCGTCTATATCTTTACACAACATATCATATCTCATGTATCCAATAGGGGACTTTCACGTTCTCCAACGTATTTTACGTCTTGTTCTCACAGTTGTTTTCGCCCCTTCAGGATATGTGAAGGATAGTAACACAGTGTGGGTATCTTACAACGGGTATCTGTTTGTTGTCTCAGACTGTGCTCAGCCTGTAAGCACAATTAAGCCATTGTCAATGTAAACGATGCCAGAGAAGGTATAACTGTCATTGTACTGAGTAGTTTTGCATCTAAAGTACTGCAAAAATGTTGTGGTGTTAAGTAACTGGAAAAGACAACTTCCTGCGGTCATTTTAGATAAGCATAGACTGGACTAGTGAGACATTACGATGTCCTAAAGACGACAAAAACAGCTACGACATGTCAGGGACTATCCACGAACAATCGCTCTGTGGGTGGCAGCAAAACGTCTGCATTATACACAGAGGATACCATATTTTAACCCAATGTACCATTTAACGCTCTTTAGTGAATTTTACGTTGAAAGTCTTCAA